TCGGGAAAAGCAGTGTAAATCAGTCTTCCCATCTGAAAGTGCAACAGTTTTCCCCAGATTTTTCAACATAAAGGTATTAACCATGGATGTTCTTTTTCAACAGACAACGCCGAAGAAAATCTTGTGATTCATATTCAAATCAATCCATATTATACGAATAAATCTTGAAACTTATACCCACATTTATTTGCCCCGAAATAGCCGGTTTTCAGTTTTAAAGAAAGGTAGCCAATTTCAGGTCAAAGTATGAGTACCAGATTTTGTGCACGATGTTGAGCTAACATTTATAATGACCGCTGTCGGAGCCGCGTGTTCTTGCAGGCGAGCAAAACGTTCCAAACTAAAGGAAGAAACAAAATAGTACATGGCAGATGTCTGTCCTCCGGCGTCCTTCTGTCAAACTATTCCTGGTCATCATCGCCCACACGTTTCGACTCCCAGCCAGACAAATCCCCCCAGAGACAGAGCAATCGCCACCCGCAAAGGATGCACTCCACACCTGGAGAGGGGACTTGCCGGTCTCAAGGCTTTTCCCCGTCCTCCTCGATGAGCGAGATTGATGAGCCCAGGAACTGCATCCCCCGAAAATGCTCCTCATGCTCACCTCATGATGAGGCGTCTCATCTACTCGCAATGACAAGATATATCACTAGGTATTGACACAACACTATTTGTCTACTATTACATTAACTTGAACAGCGTGCATACATCATTGCGCGTCCCGTCTTCATGTTAGATTGTGGCGGTGCATTGAATGCACTCCTTTCTGTGCAAGTTTGCACATTACTACACAGCACCGACGTGTTACTTACATTTGTGACGTGGTATTTGCATTCTATAATCTGTTTGCTTTCAGAAATGAACTGCAGCCAATACTGTTGTCAAGTGTTTTCCATAAACAAACTCTACCTTTAAAATAGTTTCCATGCCGCCATTTTAATGGGAAACCTTTTTAAAGGAAAATCGCAAATAGATCCAGCGTGTTTGAGTGGCTCTGGTGTGTTTAAATAGCTCTAGAGAGCCCAGGGAAGCCTCCAACAGTGTCCTTCCGATTTAACGCACTGTTATATTATGGCAGATCATCTCGGCAGTATTGTACCATTGCTCTGCAAATTATCCGCCATGACCGACTTTCTGGAGGCACAAAAACAAATCTTGTGGGCGCCACCAATCGTGAAAATGTGACTTGATGTTCCCTGCGTTTAGACAAACACGGTATAAATTTCCTCGTTTGTAATTTCGCCGCTGTGTTTTATGCATCCATTACGATTCGCCTCCTTAATGTCGAACTTTACGACCAATAAAAAACTCGACGTTAATCTTTGGAGGTCCAGCAAACCACGCTGGGAATCGGAATTAGTTCGGGCTGTTTATGTCGGTGCCCTACGTTTGCTATTTTACGGCTGGCTCGAAAACTATTTCTATTTGTGTTAAGAATTTTTGTGAATTTCAATCATTCAGTTGGCAGGAAATGGTCAATGTATAATGCAACTTCGCCGATGCCCCAGCACCGTCATTTTTGTATTCCTCTAGACTAGAATCAAAAACGAAAGGCGCCTATTAAAGCACGAAATTATAGTGGAGTTAGGCCAACGGAACAGACTCGGGACTGAGTCCGCTGTGTAAACAACCCTTGCGGGGCAACTGGGGTCTCTCGACTGCCGATCGAGAGGACGAGAATCTGCGCAAATCGAGAACACAAACATAATGATTTCAAAAATTAAATCGAGTTTTTAACAGATGTTTTCCATAGTCTACTTCGTTGAATAGTTTGAAAGAGTCTGGATTTAAAACTTGTTCCTCGGTTTCCAGTGTGACTTTTCTCATCTATGGTGAAATTTCATTTTGAATTATTCCATTTATTTTCTCGTAAGGAAACTAAAGCTTCAATAGCTGGCTCCATTGACAATCGGCTATAACTCGCTTCAGAAAGAAACACAATTCAAAAAGTTTAGTTGATATTCGATTACAGTTGTGTCACTTAAATGTTCTCTCTTCTCGTTACCAAGTGCGAAATAACACTGAAATTTAACACAAAAGTGAGATCTAACATAGGTTGAATATAATGTGTAAAGAGCTAAATTCTCGTCCGAAAATGGAAGACTTTACGGGAAAAAAGACGACTTTGGGATTCTAGTCCCCCGTGGAAATGAAGTGTCTGCGTGAACGCCGGAGCGTTTGGAGGACACTCGGTGACGATATATATAGCTTATTAAGATTCTGCGGCATTGCATTGAGGCCGCAAGACACGTACTGAGGAACCACTCACCGGCAGCCGATGTGTGTACCTCTCCGTGTAATTGCCGGCGTGTCATCCAAAGAAAAGACGAAGAGAAGAAGGAGGAGGAGAGAAAAAATAGGGAGTCGCCGTTCGTCGTCAGATTGAAGGCTCTCCAAAGATCCGATCGAACGGTTCACTACTGCCATTATGCGAACACCATCCCTGTCTTATCGAGCCGCAATGTTTAACCTTTCAGATCTTCTTCTTTCCTGAAGCCCCCCCCCCCACAAACTCACCACAGTTTAAAGCTTCAGAAGTGAAGATTTTGGATGCACCCCTCTGAATTTTTATAGCTTCCCGGCGGCAGAGTGGAACATCGATAAATTCCCCCGCTGGAAAGGGGCTACGGGAACTGGTAAACACTTACCTTGGCCCTGGGACGGACGAGCATTTTCCCGGCCTCTTGTCGAGGCCGCTTGCTGCTAAATCTTCCCGTGTGCCCATAACTGTTCCACCTTGCAGTTATTTGTGTAGCCTCTCTCAAAATGGGTCTCGTATGAAGTCGGAATGGCTTCTTGAGTTGTACAGCAAATAGCTGTTCGGAATTAACCCGATACTTCGTTTACTTCCCCCTTGGACACTCAGTAGTTTTCCAGCCAACTTTATGGTCCTTCCGTGACTACCCCCTCGTTCAACTATGTCCACTAATATCCAAACTGTTTTGAAATCTCCCAAGATTTCTTACGGTGATAGTCCAATGTCTAACGGGTTATTAGTTCTGCATACGACAACTGGTTTATATCTGACTGGCTGTTGCCATCCACATTGAGAAGTGCGTTTTCAAACAATTCATGTCTTGTCGGCTCCCTGTTTTCCGTCACGTCATCATGGGAAGTTGAAAAAGTTCGAATATGCCTGGTAAGCGGCAGTTTTGGTTTTTCTGGCGAGTTTTCTGGCGAATTTAGAAGTCTGAAGCGCTTGTTAGGAGCGCATCATCAAAAACCATACAGTATTTCTTGCTCAACACATACGGTCCCAATGATGATGATGCACCGAAGAACACTCAATGGCGAAACAAGTGTAAAGTCCCTTTTTCTCTCCCTCGGAGAAAGCGATCGGGACTGAAAAACACACGCTTCTCGTATTCCTTCCTCGTCATTCGTCAGAATAAATGCTCTGGGCTTGCGGTCGGTGGTGACGCTCATTGAGTCGTTGCTGAAAGGTGGTCGAGGAGCGAACGTCCGAAAAGGCACGAATCTTTCTCGTTTGGCGCGCAGTGATCTGTTAGTAGTGGCGGGAGCGGAGAGTGTCCCACTGATTGATTGTAGAGGACAGGAACCCCCAGCTGATGCTCCGGCGCGATATCCTTGATAAAATGATGTCATTAAGACGTTAGGGAACGTGAGAGTACAACACAATGTGACGGCTGCACTCTGCCGGCATAGTAACCTCGTCACGCCCGGTGTGCAACCCAGCCTCCGACTTTCCTTCCGAATAAGCCGAGGCTGCACTGACCCCCCTTACATTTGAAAATCACCTAGACCGCCCAACAGCCGTCCCTCAGCCGTCTGCACACAAACACATTTACTCCCGAAGAACATCAGAAATGAATGAAGCCTAATGTAGACGCCCCCTGCTTGTGCGCAGATACACCAGCGTAGAACGTCTCCAAGATATTTGTACAGACAGGAATGACGGAGGCGTCAAAAGTGCTAGAAGACAGTGTCGCAGGTTAGTCATTGCGGAGTTTTTTGACATCACCTACGCGTGGCTTGCTTAAAAAGGGATGCGAAGAGTTCAATCGATTGTGGGCGGGTCGGCAGCTGCGTTAAGTCACCAAGGACGGCCTCCGTGGTTTACTGTCGCTGCTTAGTTGCTGACTTGCTATCTTACGCCGATAACTGATAAACTCCCAAATGCTGTAGTGTTCTCTGCGTGTCATACGGTGCCACGGAAGAGCCCATTGCTCTATTTTTGCATATTTGACAGAAACACGGTCACATTCGAAATCTGCTTGTTAATACAAAAGGTGAGGGAAATTTTACGTGACTGGTTATCCATTCTTTCGATTTCGGTTGTTTACAAAGCATCTTAATTCTCAGTTAAATGAAGTATCAATTTCTTCAAGTGCCTTAATCATGCCCTGATTGAGCTACCGATGTATTACAACATTAACAACATGAAATCAGTCTAAAAATAAAATGACAGACGTTTAAAAGTGAAACCCACTACATGCAAAGAGCATAAAGATATAGGTTACATTTCTATCATATAATGGTAATGTATTAATTTGATGTCATACTCGGTGGTATTTTGCTTAAGCCACGATGCTGTATATACATGTATATGTATTTTTATCATGGCCAGGCTTGCCTCCAGGCAATGAGATAGTAGATGGTTGTCGTTTATTTCTAGCATTTGATGTATTAACTGGTTTCCCGCCACAGCCTGCACTTTGCAAAACCGCCGTTGGCGCCAAAAATTTGCCCGTGCGCCAGCACGTTGCTCCAAAATTAACGCCGGTGTTATTACTGGGTCAGCCAATCTGTTTTGGTTGGCATTTAAAGTCAGACTTTCGAAAACACGAAACACACCGCTGAGGCAGCGACGATCGTGCATTTCGGGCTTAAGATTCCATTAGTTACACTCCATTAAGGACGGCCGTGCAAAAAACTCAGCAGTGGAAAAAAAATGAGTGGAATATGGAACAAAAGACATAGCGACAAATACCACTTTGGAATTTTAAGTGAAAGGCAAGATAAGTCACGATCTCGAATACCTGTTTTGCAGACGATTTTTCCCTCGGGGCTGGTCCGTCTCCAACGCTTTAATCTCCTCACTAGGATCACTTGATGGGTGTAAATCTGGATTAAAGAAAGAAAAAAGAACAAATGTTTAATGGAGCTGAATAAGTATTGTAAGTCAGACAAAATGATTCAGCCACATTTTGAAAAGGAGTTTTTCACGATCTTTATAAAAAAATTAATATGCTATTTTTCTCTTCTGGCAATAAGTTAAACATGAAAAAGTTTGTTATTCATAGAATTCCCGTTGGAAAAGACCCTTCCATTACTAGAGGCCATGCGTATCACATGAGGCAATTTAAATTTAAATTGCGTGTTTGCTTGAAAAACATGTAACATCTACATGTTAACCCAGATATTCAAATTGATAGTAACAGGTTCCAGGTCTTGTGCAAGCATTGCTTTTCAACTTGAATCCTTATATCATTTCGGTTATTTTGATATGAAATTCATGTAAATATTCTGATAATGAGATGAAAATAACTAAACTAAACTAAATAATTTCGTGACCTCTGGGGTCCCTTCTTCATCATATTTTGCAAATTAGCCTATAGCGTGCAGAGTTGGTTTTAGATCACCTGATTTAAATCACTGATTCAACTTGCGATTTAATTCAGTTAGTTTTTAGATCACTGACTCGAATCGAAATTTCAGTTTTTTGAAAAGGGCAATCAATGTTGCCATCAGTTTTTCCTTTTTTCTTCAACTAATTCGTAATGATCCCAGATTTGGCAAATACCTTTCCAAAAGCCCTTCGTTACCAACATTATTAATAAGAAATATGTTTGCACAACTTTAAGACAAAATTCGCAACGTCAGGAATTTGTGGTTCAATTTCTGACATATGTTTTGATTTAAATCTGCTTTTTAAATTAAGTGCATTAATTAAATGAGCTATGATCATTATTTAATCAAACTTGATTTAAAGTGTTCCCCTCTTAGATTAACATGGTAAAAGTATTACTACACGTACATTTATCTTTTATCCTGATTTTAGTTTGGATTAGAAATGCTAGTCATTGCGCGGTGAAACATAGCTGGTCACAACATTTTTTAAATCAGTGATTTTTAATTAGGCCTTAGCCATTTTTAAAAATTAAGACAGAGGAGCTGGATCATGAATAGATGAACTTGCAATAGAGTAATAACATTAAAATTTATCTTAACCATGGCTTCTGGAATGCAAAACATGGGGCCTCTAGTTTTGACAAAATGGTTAGATTTGCTTGCTTTGGAATGATTATGCTGAGTTACCTCCTCAAATTTTGTGATATGCAAAATGACCATTAGACATCTTAGCTCGTACCATCATAACCTTGTCGTATTTTGTCATTATTGTAAGGTGAAATAATCATTACCGTATGGGGCGGTTTTACCTGTTAATTGACACATACATCAAATCTGAGGCAATTCCCACTTATTCACTTGAGGTCATTCCTTAAATGTGCGCTGCCGTATGAAAACACAGTTCTATATAGCCACCATTGATCGTGCACTGCGTCCCCTTTCCGGGATCGATGAAAATCTTATGCAGGGGTTTAATAGTAGGTTAATGGTACCTAATAGTAAGTTTTAACCCGAGCGTGTTTGGGGTAGCATCGCCTCGAGCCACCGGTCACCGGGACTCTCCCTTGAGTTTAGATAAGGAGAGGAGCATAAAGTCCGTGTACCGTCATTTGGACGGCCTGTCTACGGGGAGTTTCGCTGGTTACCGTCGCGTCACGGTGTAAATTACATCACTATTCAAGTAATTCCATTACTTTATTCTACACTTCGTAGAACTGGATATTGTTCACGACCTAAATCTTACTATTGCTGCAAGATATTTGGCGAACATGTACATGGTTTATCCTAAGGAAAGATCAAAGCAGAGCTGTACTCTACTACTTGCTAAATGAGGTCTTACGATTTTTTCTTTGTTTGCAGAGCAATTTTAATATGTGCGTTTACTTATTGACGATATTCATAACATTCGACAACACGTATCTTTCATGTTTATCCAAGGGTGAAAGAATACCCTTTTCGCGCTATTTTGACAAGGAAATAAAATTTCGACGGTAAAATTCGTTTGTTTGTTTTGGTATGAACAAATCAAGTCCTCGCGGGTGGCCAGCAACAAGATTTGAAGGAAATACACTGTCTCGCTGCAAACACAGTGTTTTCTATTAAATCAGTGTTAGAAATTGGGTTTCTGAAGATGATAAAATTAATCGAAACAATTATGTTTAATAACAATTATGGTATCAACTTTTAAAGGGGTTGAAAATTAAGCAATCTCCTGCCACCAGAAATGAAATTAATCATGTATCCTACTCAAGGTTTCTACTTGTTTAGAATGTATAGAAGCCAGGCGTTACTTTAAGAGAAATCTATTGTGATATTTTCCCCTCTTTCAGTTGTTCTCCCAGAGGTGCATTGTGACCAGTTTCAGTCGTGTTTCCAATTTTTCGTCCCGAGTTCAAGTTTCCAGACCAAGAAGCCTCCTATTGTCCTTTCGGCCCGTTGCAGCTGGACTCCAGAGTCAAGGGAACGCCCGTGCGCGCGCGATTTTGCCGGGGCCTCAGCACCAGATCACATTACGCTCTCGCTCACAAATTGAAAAGGAGTTTCGGCCCGTCTCAACTTTTGCCGGCCTCTTTTTCGGAATCTCCGAGGATGGATTTCTTTCCCGGCTTGCACTTTGTCCTGATCAATTCAGGCGTTGGCTTTCCAGCCGCGACACCGGAATTTGATGTCCTCCATGCCACGGCTCTGAATGGCGCGAATTGAAACCAGACTCGCCGAATGGAATGGTTTTCCTGTTCATCGGCCTAATGAGGGAGGTACTCCCATTTTCAGAGAGAGAAATTCCTCCAGATTGAGCCCCTGCGACATCGATTTCACCCCCCCCCCCAAAAAAAAGACTCAAGTTTGATTAAAGTGCCTTGCGAGTACGAACTGGATCAATTTATGCAGGTGGTATATGAACCTTGAATGCAGAAAGCTTTCACCAAAGTCACCCATTCTTGGTGACGGCTCCTAATTTCTGTGATAATATGCATGACGTCATGCTTCTGTACTAACACCTGCACAGCTCAAGGTCGCTGTTTTGTAGCTCTCTTATGCATCTCTGTGAGTTTCCACTTATGACAAAAAGACGGGTAAAAGAAAGGAAAACGTACAGTTGAAGTGTCTGTCATTAACAAGACTACAGTCTTGTTGATTAATTTTGTTCTACCTTTATTAGCGTGGCACATAAGTCATTGCCAAATACAGACACGAGGATACGGGCAGATGAAATAACAATTTTGAGGAAGATCGAAAACAGGAGTTCCCTTCATTCACGAGGAATGGTGACAGGGATTAAACTTGTATCCATAGGTATACCACAGCCCACTGAAAATTGCGATAGATTCAGGAAATGGTACTTGACCGCAGGTGTGGAAACGAGTTCAAATTCCGCTCTGGTAGTTGATACCGAACACCGGCGAACAACCTGCCACATTGTACGGACATCTAGTACACACCACCCGCAATTACACGCACCGAGGCCCATTACTGGAGTATCCATACGCGTACAAGTGCTCACGTAGCAAATTTATGTCGTACAAATAAAAGCCAAAAGTAGCCAAGAGCTGTATAAACTATAGCGGTTTACGTCTTCATTGGCCTTAGCAGAGTCTTTAAAGAAAAAAATCCGCACGTATTTCCCTCATGTTACAGCCGGGTTATATTTACCAATGCGACTTCAAATTCCCGCCAAAATCAACAGAGCCCAGCCTCGCGCGCCTCCGAGCTATTTGCGCAAGTGGTGCAAGATTCACCGATACAAATTCGAGTCTCACGTACGGATGAGCAATTCAGACGGGGGAGCTTGCGCTCAGCTTGTTCGACGTTGTTGTAGGCTATTCAATCAGGCCTAGATCCAGTGTCTGGGTGTTCCTGACGTGTGTAAAGATCGCATTAGCAAACAGGATTGAGAGAGTCTCTGCTTGTGGGTCGAGACTATTAAGGGACAAGCACAGGGATTGGAGCCTTGGACCAGACACCTGACTGACCGTTCCGTCTCTAATCAGGAGATCGGTTATCCTTTAACACAATTACTTGATGCCCTAATCAGGTATACGATTGCGTCAATACCTTGATCGTGGCAATGGATAGCGCGCCAAATGTTCTTCTAACCTACACGTAGACTATGAATACTTAAGTCGTGGGTCAAATTTTTTCTCTGTGCCAGTTCTTAAAGTTAAGGCTGAGATTTATGTGAGTCGGTCTGAGTTATTATCCAGAGGGCTTTCCTGTGGAGCCCTCAAAATAAGAATTACTTTACGGATCTTGGCACGACGAGTGATGAATGGTTGTATGCAGAATGAACGGTGATTTTCTGGTTAAGACGGACCTTTGTGTAATTTCGAGGGTTTTCGTGCGGTATCATCCCCATCTGTGATGAAACTGATTTTACAGGCGGGTAAGGCAGCGTATCAACTACGTCGAGGTCATTTCTGAGGGACATGGTTGGACCTGGTTCTATTTTCCTGCACGTGCGCAGATTTGAATGCCTTTTTTGGTGTTCGTGTTGTTGAAATCCAGACTTGTGTTTAGTATTTCGCCCATGCAGTTCAGTCCCGACAAATCATCTTTGGAAATTTGACCATATACATGTAGAGGAATTTATTAGGTTACGGGGTCGGTGTTTTGGCTTCAATGTCTGTACAGCTGCAGGCGTGAAATGTACTCCGTGGCGTTGCCCCCTTTCCCCAAGCTGGGTCAAATTTTTCCCCCGAATGAAAAAAATGCAAGTGCACGCCCTCTGTCGGCACACCGGAAGTTGGCCAGAAGGCCGGGCTGTAAACCTACGCGGTTACGGAAGCTAGCGGTGCCAGGCTGGCATTGCGCCTTGAATAACTTACAATGATTTAACGATTTTTGTCAGGGGAGGGGGACACTGAAGTACTGAAAAGAGTCTGGAGTCTTCGCGTGTGCCAGTGAATTTCTACCCACGATGTCCGTCGTGTAAACCGTGACTTACCAATCGGCTGGTGGCCGTTTGCAATATAGCGTCCCAGCGACTGATTCAACCC